AGAAATGCAAAGTATTATCAGTAATGTGCACTAAACACGGAGCGATGTTTCTCAGTCCCTAATACATCAGTCAGTGGACCTCAGTTTTCTGGCTTGTGTTTAGTGTTTAAAACACACACACACACACACACACACTCACACACCCATGTGTAGACAGGCACGCACAACTTGCAAATCAAGTGAGTTAACGCTCTGCCAACTTCTTCTAGATATTGACCCTAGGGGGTCAAACTTTTAGAAAAATGATGCCTGGTTTTCCACCCTCCTCATTGCAGTTCCCCACCAGCAAGAAAGTCCCATCTCTAAGTGGCAGCTCACAAAGAATTTCTCGAGAGAATATGGAGCTGCATTGGCAACAAAATCCTCTCTGCAAAATGAGAAGAAAGAGTTGTTAAGTGATGAGTCAATCCAGCTTTTATAGCAGTTTATCTTCGTGGTATTTCCAAGAGCATAAATGTTATAAAAAAAGAGAGACGGTCATGACAGGAAGAACACAGTAGAAAAAAACAGGGACGTTCAAGCCAAAAGCAATTTACTTTGCCAGTAACTGGTTACATTTCCTTTGTTTTATTATTATTATTTCAAGGGTTGGGGTTGAGCTGAAAGTTTCCCACACCTGCACTGTCCTGACACATAACTTGTCAGAACCCATAGAGAAGTGAATACATAAGTGAGTGCCTGGAAACTCTAAACTTTAGATGCTTTAAGAAAACAAACAAAAACATTATTCTGCTGTATTGTCTTTAAAAAGGTTATCTTTTAGTAATATTTGACTGAGTTTTTAAAAAAGGAGAAAACAAAACACGTGGGTGAGATGTCAAAGTAGCCCTCAGCAGTGGCGGTCGCTGACTCCCGGGATTAACGCCTATAGAAATAGCAGTGACTTCACAAAGGTGAATACTTGTTAATTTCATGGCACTGAGTAAGAGGAACAGATGGGCAGTCAGAGAGGAAAGATTTTTTTTTTTAAACCACAGAAATCTTTCACTGTTCAGGCAGAAGAGTCGGTGGCCCACTGCAAAGGGGTAATGTGGATGGCACGCTAAGTTTTATTGGAACTCTGTGGCTTTAGGGGAAGTCTTTCACCTACTGCTAAGTCAGGATTGGGGACCCTGCCCCACGTCGAGTCTGTAGGATGCTGTTTGCTGCCTGCGATGGGCTCTTAGTACCCTCGTACTGTGTGGTGCTATTTGAGTGTTTTCATTTAGGGAAAGCTCCCTGGTGACTGCCAGCCCAAGTTAATAATATAAATATCTCATTATGAGACAGACTGAGTGTGTATGTCTGTTAGAAGTTACTTAAAGCAGGGACGTTGGATAAAGTCCAGTTGCCTGGTTTGGATCTCGTTACCAGTAACCAGTTGCATGACCTAAAACAACTAATTTCATCACTGACTCAGTTTTCTGGTCTGGAAAATGGGGACAATAATCGTGCCTTCCTGTTGGTTTGCTGTGGGTTTTAAATGGGTTATTGTATACTAAGTGCCGACTGGCACAGAGATAGTGCCCAGTAAATACAAGCTATTATTATTATTCATGTGTAATATTGCAAACATTCAGGTAAAGAGCATTGACTGAACTCTGTGAATGAATGGGCCCAGGGCCAGTTAATGGATATATACATGTGGAAAAGTAACCGAGCATTTATTGCTTCACACTATTTTCTTTTGTGGTGTATCTGACTATAGCCAGTTATGCTATCAGTAAGTGTACTGCTGGCCTCCCGCACTCCCGAACACCACCACACCATAAAGCATTTGTTTTCACTCACTTGCCTTGCAAATGATTTGTTTTCTTGATTCCGTAAGAAGAAGAAGAAGAAGAAGAAGAAGAAGAAGAAGAAGAAGAAAGTAGCCCAAGGACCAGACTTTTTACTCCCCTCAAAAGCCAGCCCTCAGTCCCAGAGCTTTGCCTAGGGTTTTATGGATCCAAAAGGTTTCAGATCAAATGATGGGGGCTCCCACCCAGTTCTGCGTGTGCTCTGTTCTCCCTGGGACTCTGAACATCCGCTCCCCAGGGCACTGGTTGCACTGGGGACAATATCACAGCCCTTCTGAGATGCCAGACACGAAGGCTTAGCGGTCATCAGGAACCAAAGGCCTTAGGTTTTCTGTCTTAATTCCCAGAGCAGACTTTCTGGTCACTGGGTTATGTTCCCGGCGCTCAAGTGTAAATAGTAAAGGCGAGCACAGGTTTACAGGTGCCCAACGTGACAGGTATGCACAAGGCCAAGTTTGTGAGTCTGGCTCGTGAAGACTTGAAGGAGGTACATGTGGGCATCTTTATTTCCATTAGTCACTTATTCATTCAACAGATTTACGTTATGTAATGCCATCTCCTTGGGTGTGTGCTGGGCAGGTGAGAGATGAGTCTGACTGGTCCTGCCCTTAAGGACTCTCCAATTTAGGATAATAATAACCCATAAAACACAACCAAAGTACAAAGAATACAGTGATACCTTCCATAAGAGAAAGTCAGAAAAAGGAGGGCAGAAGGGAAAGGAGAAGAGATATTTGAGTTTGAGGCTTGAGCCATCGGTGGGATTTGTCTACCCTACCTGAAATGTCAGCGACTTGCCTCATTATGAACAAAAGGCTTTTTCTCTTGATCAAATCCCATTTAGAGTTTAAGTTTGTGTGACCAGAATATTAGGTGCTAGCCTGTTCTAAATTTATAATTCTCAGAATCTGCTGGGGAAGGGCATGTGCTTCTCTGGTTCTGAAAACAGCTCAAAGAATGGAGAAAATAGACCCGATTTGGGGATGACTTATGGTCGGTTCCCGGAACCTTTGCCTTTATTTAAAACAGCCTGTTCAGTACAAGTTCTATCTAAAAGGCCTTTGGGATTTGAAAGCTTCTCTGGAAATAAATGCTTTTAGGTTTAAATGTTTTGGGTTTTTTTGTTTTGTTTTGTTTTGTTTTGTTTTTTTGCCAAAATGTTAGGAAAGAGAGACCATGGTTAACAAATCTGAGAATGGAGGCGATAATTGTTTTGGTTCTTTTAATGAAATGTCTCAGACCTCCCCTAAGTTCTGTTTGTCTCTCTGTCAGCTCTCTGCTCGCTCGGCTATTATTTTGATAAGGGACATGAAAGTACATCATTCCCTCACAGTCATTAAAGTCTTAGCATTTGAGTCGGCTGTGGAAACACTTCTGTGCTACACCAAGTCTTCAAACCAAAACAGTCCACGCCCTGGCTCGGGGCTGAGGAGCGGGGCAGTTCATGGAAGGTGGCATTAGTCTGTGACGGAGAGCAGGAGGTCAGGATCCCCAACCCAGGCCCGATGAAATCACCGAGGCGGAGCAGGGAGGGGGAGAGAGCCGAGCCCTCCCTGCCAGTCTGGCAACTCGGCAAAGTCCTCAGAGCTCATCCCACACACTCCGTGCTAGTCACTGCTGTGTGTTTACATGAGTAATGGAGCTGCCGGGGGAGGGGAGTCGTAAGCACAGTGCTGAGCCTGGCAGCTTGCACTTGCATTCCCGTTGGGAGGGAAGCTGACATCCACACCAAGTCAAGACTTCCAGGGACGTGGCCGGGAAGCAGTCACATGCTGTAGCTTTCATGAGCACAGACATCCTCAGGCAGATGTTTGTCGACTGGAATGGGTAATCGCTACTTTCTCTTTGCTTGATTTTTGTCTGTGAGTTTGTTTCCCTGTGATAATTCCAGGCTGGCTTTCTGGGGTGGACTTCTGGACATCCGTCTAGGGGGAGAAGGGAAGGGAGTGGGTTTGGGAGGGGGAGCCTGAGCCCCACTTTTTAAACTTTTGCCCGACTAGAAATGCAGCTGTGCTTTCCTGAGCTTTACCACCAGCAGATCTGTTATCCACGGTAGAAAAGCTAGTGCACGGGACTCCTGTTGAGGAGCACGGTGCAAAATGTCCTAAAACCACTGGTTAAATGTGTGATGTAAGTAAGATGAACAACAATTAAAAGCGTTCGAGTGGTTCAGATTTGGCACTGGGGCAATCCTATCTTCAAGCAATAAATAAAAGTGTGGGTACCTCGAAAGGGCTGGGAAAAATTGCTTGGGGTACAATTCATTAGTTTGGAATTGTTCAAGGGCTGCTTGGTTAGCGGTTTGTTTTAATTTTGCTTGACTTAGGTGACTGATGAAGCTAAATATGAAAGCTGATGCCGGACAGTCCGAGCACTAGATAAACAGCAGTCTTTCTACCCCCTGCTTTCTGTGTGGATCTTAAAGGGATTCAAGTCCAACATCAGGGCTGAAATAGAACTTTGCTTTGCATCTTGTCTGTGGCTTTAAGAAAGTATATTCCTCACAGAATTAGGCTAACCCCAGTGTGTGATCTTTGGAAGTTATTTTAAATAACCCTGGAGATCTTACTACGTTGAGAAGGAAAAAGACAGCATGCTGATTTAAATGTATCTGCCAGATTTGTTGAGATTTGAAACACGCTGATAGCAATACTATTAGTAAATACTTGTAAGAATATCTTTCATATTTTTAACCGTGAATGTTCTTTGTATAGTTCTCTCTATTCATTTGTAATCATATCCACTTATTTGTACCATAATTTAAGAAAATGCTCATGTCTCCCCTGCTGAAGAGAGGTTTTCAAATGCCACATTACTATGATACCATAATGGGCTGGCATTTCACCTAGGTTTCTGAAAAACAGATACAAAACAAAAACAAAGACTAATCTCTAAGCCTGGCTTCGGGTTGTCTTTCAGCTCAACATGTTTCTTTTCTAAGAGTAGGAAGTACCTTTTCCCTACTATTGTCCTTGAGAGCTGAGAGCTTCATTTTATTTATACTAATTAGACATGTTAAAGTGTAGTAGATTCACTTGGGGAAGCATGTACAGAACTGTACAGTCTACCAAGATGCGGCCCGTCAGAGAGGAGAGCATAAAATGAGATGCGTACGTTTCTCTGAACAGTTTAGTGGGCACCACTGTATTAACACCCTTGGTCTTTCATAAGGAAACCTATGCACATGAAAATGTACATCAATCGCTCTTCATTTGTTTTCAGCGCCAAACCTTAAAGGCAGACCACGCAAAAAGAAGCCGTGCCCACAGAGAAGAGATTCATTCAGTGGTGTTAAAGATTCTAACAACAATTCTGACGGCAAAGCTGTTGCCAAGGTATGGTCATTTGCTCCCTGGTTTCCATTTGGCTGCATCTTCTTATTTCTCCTTTTTCTCTTTATCTCTCTGCTCTTGTGTCTTGGTGGCAGTTTTCAGTGGAGGATCTGACTTTGGTATTCACAGCCCTCTGTGTCTGTTCCCGCCACCTCCCCTCCCCTGTGTGGCTGGGGGAGGGGAGAGCGTAGGCATTTTGATTAGTCAACAGAAAGATTTCCCACCTCCCAGGCTGGCCTGTTGGGTAAAGGACAGATGATTAAGCGCCCACGTCATTGAAGCTGAGATTTCATAGTAGGTGACACAATGACATAGTTTACTCTGCTGTGTCAAAAATAGACCAAGCTGAACCATCCTCTTTCTGAACGTGTTCATCTAAATATGTTTCAGAGATTAACAGAGGATGAAATTAGAAATGGCTAGAATTAAGCTTCTTAGTGATTTTTTTTTTCAGTCATCTCTAATTTACCTTACATTAAAACCGGTTACCTTCATAGCAGAATAGTTACATGTACACATGTAGCCGTATATTCATTGATATATTTTTTAAAGATCTCCAGTAACACAGAAGGAAAATACAAATTCAAAACTATTTTTCTGGGCCCAGGCCCATTTTGCCCAAGAGTTCCGTGGAATCTGGAAAGTGCACACCGGAGGGACTGAGCTTCATGAAGAGTGAACTGTCACTTCTTATTTTTAGACTTACCTTTGTGACTTTTGGGGGTGGGGGGTGGTCAGATTTGCACAGGTCTGTTTACTGGGTGTTTGTGCTTAGGTGTTGATTCTGTGCCAAAGACAGCAATAACCCCTTTAGGACTCGAGCTGAAGACCAGATTTCAACTGATATTGTTTCCAGATCCAAGGACTAAGTTTATGAAAATGGGACCATTTTGACTCGTGGTGAATTTGGAAGATTCTGCTGTAGAAAAATATGAATTCAGTTCTGGGTTGACAGTCTACTGTTTTTCTGCTGCATGTGCCATGGCTCTCCCCTATGCAATGGAAGCAAATCTGAGACATTCACAGTTTATAAATCTTATTTTTAGCAGGTGATTGTTATATCAGGAAGTTCTGAGGACTTTTTGGTTAGATTTCTTCATGCTCCCAAGAATGCAAAGGGTTAGAAAGAGATCAACCAGTAGAAATGTCTATTTTCTGGCTAAGAACAGATCTGTCTCTCCCTAAAGTTATTTTTTTTCTGCTCGTTTAACCTTCTGCAAATGAGTGCACGTGGGTACCAAGAATGACACTCTCTAGTAGTTTAGACATCTCAGTCCTAGAACTGCCTATCAGCCTCCGTAGTCTTGAAGAATGTCAGCAGGGACAGTTTATTCCCTGTGATGTGGTTTGCAAGATACTGTAGAATGGAGCGAGACAGTTTTAGGATCTTCGTGGTGGGCAGAATTTGCGCTGCCGGTGTCTCATGTTGGCACTCTGCCCCATACTTCTAAGGTGACATCATGTGTTTACTCCAGTACGTTCTGTACCTGAGCCCAGCAGGATGAAGCTCCTTCCCGTGTCATTTGGAGCTACTAATGAAGTATGCCTCTGGGAATTTTACAAAACTCCTACAAATTGATCTGAAAGAACAGCACCTCCAATATTTCTTACCATGGAAGGCAGCTCAGGACTCACAAAAGGATCCACAAAACTGAAGAGTACACAAGGCTGCTTGTATTTGATGTTCACTGACTTCTTAGGAGGGGTAGTAGTCAAACCTGGGTTTTCTAAGTGACCTTTTCTGCCCCCTCCCACCAGTGCTTCCATTCCGTATCTTTACAAGGAGGTGGGTCACTTTCCCATTGGTGGTTTCAATGATGAGTACGTGGGTGGCGTGCTGCGGTCAGCTCCTGGGGACTGGTCTAAACACCCAGCTCTACTCAGACTCTTGGATTACAGTTTTGCCTTGGCTGCTTCCAATGGCCCTGGCAAGATCACATCTACTAGAAGAAAGAGACTAGTAGGGATGAAGTATGGCAGGCTTGACCGTTGGCACTAACAGACAGATGTAAAGTCTCTACAGAAGGAACAAGGCACGTCTGGGCCCAGAACAACCACAAGAGAGGCATTTATGTCTTACAGGGGCCTTTGCTCATGAATCACTGTAATAGAGACCATAGCCTATGACCATCTGATCACTTGCTGAACTGGAAGCAGTGTTTCAAGTGACAGTTTGGCTTTATGACCAAGACCTATGTGACTGGGTTTTGCAAAAGTGTCTCAAACATACCATTTCTTACTATGGATAAATTTCAGCTTCGTGCAGCTACACACAGCTAAGCTCTCTACAGAGAGAACCTCCTGCATCTGTTGTGTGCACGGCTGGGAGAACACTTTCAGTCATTTGCCTGTCACCATCAAAAAGTTGCACCCTCTCCATGAGAACAGAAAAGCCAGCTTTGCAAGACTGTTTCCTAAGGGACAGAGAATTTCATGGCTTTCCAAAGACAGCAAAAGTCACATGGGGAAGAGGCTACCAGTTCTCTGAAGATGTCTTGAGGGTGTCCAGCCAAATCCTGCTGCTTCCCTAGACTCATACTGTGGCAGCAGAGATGGGCCCAAGCCCATTCATACGGTAATCTGTGCAAGATCCTTCTCAGTCCAGGCCTCTAGTGCAAAGCCTCCACCGATAGGAGGCAAATGACTCTTCACATTCTGTAAGCCCCTTCGAAAGGCCAGAAGTACATAACAGGTGGTTAGAGTCTAAAAGGAACAAAAGAAGGGAAGCCATGGTGTGCCATATGTTTTTACATTTAAATTGTGAACATCCCCTTGATATTTCACAAATGTGACACTTTTATTATTTTCAATATTTTTCATCCAGTTTGGTCCTCAGAGCGACCCCCAGGGATTATCCTTCCTGCTTCACTGGGGAAGAACATGAGAGTCTCCTAGCAAGTCAATGACCAAATCCAATTTAGACTGTGGCTTCTTTCTTGCTGGTTCATCATATCTTGCTACCCCAGTTGAAGGCTGGATTAGTTATAACTCAGGCCAGAGAAAGGATGTGGTTAATATCAAATAAGTGGTGGTTCATTGAAAACATTAAATGTGGATTCTTTAATTAGCACTTCCTAAATCACTTTAGAAACCCCAAAGCTCTTAGTGAACTCAACAAGTGTAAGGTGTTCAGGTTGGAAAAATAGCTTGAGTAATTAACTGTCCCCATCAAAAGGTGGGGCATTCTCAAGGTCAACATGAAGACTAGCTCCTTTTTAAAACTGCAGCAGATTAAAATGTTAAGTTAAAATGAGAATATTTGGGGTAAATGTGAAAAAAAAACGTAGAAAGTAACTTGGCCAGGTCCTACGCAGAAACGGGGTAATAGCTGAAAAGGTTCTTCTGTTAACTGAAGAAATGTGTGGAGCAAGTCTGAGAAAGGAAACCACTGTTCACTTCTTTCAAAGCCTGTGTGTGCCCCTCCCTCACCCCTGCAAGGAGACACCTGCTGGGACCCCCATGGAGGTTCAGGATGGAGTTCAGGAGGTGGCAGCCTGGCTTTCCCAGGAGCCTTTTCTACAAAGCAGGGAGTCTGAATGACTCTGGGCATGGTTTGTGTACCTCCGCCATGCTTTCCCTCTGTTTCTGGGTGTTTCTGCACGGTTGAGGCAGAAGGTTAGGCAGCCATCTAGACACAGAGGGAAACCTCATACTCCCTTATAGTGGTGCTTCTGACCTAACAATATATATAATTGGCCCATTATTGCTGCACACTTAAGACTCAACCTGGTTTATATGCAAATCTTATGTCTACTCCTGTTTGGTATTTGGAGTTAAGCAGACCTGAGTTCACACCCAGAGTTCTGCCCGCCGTGCGCCAAATAACAAAATACCTCACCTCATAGAGCTCCGTTGTCCTCAACTGTAAAATGGAACTAATTTATGAGTGTTATCTATGATAGCTATGAGTGAACCAGGAGACTGTGGGGGGCCCACAGCACCATATCCAGCTCACTGTCAGCTCAGTGGGTACTGGTTTCCTCCCCTTTGCTCGATATACAGTAGAAGGAATGGAGCCCTTTAATACTTTGGAAACCATCTAGTTTTATCTTTTGTTCCTCATTTGATAGATCACATTTCTAAGCTGTAGGTTTTGTAACGCCCAGTAATAAGATATGCTTTTAATTGGAAGTGCGTTGTGACTATCAATTTAATTTTTTCATGAGTGTCAGTAAATTATAGTGTTTGGTACCATAGGCCCTTAGAGTTCAATCCCAAGCTCACCACCTCCCAACTTGGACATGATCTTGTACCTGTTACTCATCCCCTCTGTACCTCAGTCCCTTCATCTCTAATGAGAGAATAATAATGTGCCTCATTAGAGTGATGGGCATAAAATGAGGTAACACCTCAAAAGGGCTTAGAATGGAGCCTGGCTACATAGTACACACTTGCAAAAGACCAGGGGAAACCCAGATAAAAACTGGAATGATTTTATGATTTCAAAAAGCCATTAAATTATAGATTTCATCAGAACTTGAGACTCCGTCGAAAATTTGGCAGTGAAAACTGATGACAACATAATTTTCACAGGATGCTCGCCTTAATATAATGTGACAAAGTACTAAAGTTTGAAAATACTGTAAGTAAAAATTCTATGTGGAAAAATATTTTAATCCCATTTCCACCAGCCCCTTAAAAATTATAATCTTATCTAGGGGCCCAGTTGAATGGGTTGTACAGGAAGTTTTATTTTTTCCAGAACCAGTCTAAAGATATTAACCTCATATATTCGCTTAAGAGAACAAACTTAAGAAAACCCTTGTGCACAGGAGGATACCATTCCCTTTTATAAATAAGCATGGCCTTTTATATTCTTAATGCCTGGGAAGGAGACTCTGAAGGGAAAGAAAAAGAGGGCTTAAAAATCTGAAATGGAAAACAATGTTGAATATGTGGGACATTTTTGTTCATAACATTTCCCCAGCCTTCTCTCCGATGTGAGATCTGGAGATGTAAAGAATATCGGAATGTACACATTCCCCATGGGCACACTTGAACTCAAAGTCTGACCCTTTGTACTTCCCTCTTTTACAATTAAAATAGCTCAGCAACTTAACGTTATATTTAACAACCATCAAAGCCCTCTTGTAGAACATGGCAGTGGGGAGGGAACATTAGGTTAGCCACTCAGTTTGCCGAGTTCCATATTCGCCTAGAGTGTGGAAGCAAGAACATCTGGCACATTCACCGCCATTTATTTTTCAATTATGGCTCTTTCCACTTACTCTTCTTCGGTTTTTAGCTGACCTCTACTCTTGCCTTTGTGCCAAGTTAGCATCTCCTGTTACATTCTCAGAGCTGACTGAGAAGCAAGAAGCCCTCATTAAAGAGTGGGACCTTTTGTTACTTACTGAAGGTGCATCTGGCAACACTCTCAGGTGACAGACAGTGGAGACCTTGCTGGTATTCTTGATGCCAACATCCACTGGCGTGGATGGCTTTTTTCAGGTTACTGGAAACAGTAGCAACAAGATAAGTTTACTATGAAGAAGTAACCTTTCTTCACACTGATACAAAGTGTGAAATATGGGACTATAGACTAAGAAGATAGGGTTTTGTTCAATGACATTAACAGCCGATACCCCTTGGGAAAATAAAGTGTATAAAGAGGCAAAAGAATGGTCCAGCCAGATGCAAACAGTGTTTCTGGATACGTATCAACATTCTTGTGAGGACTGTCACAGAGGTTGGCACAGTTGGGCAGACCATGGCCTCCTTAACACCTGTTTCTATAAATAAAGTTTTATTGGAACACAGCCATACCCATTCACTTAGATGTCTGTGACTGCTTTTGTGCTAGAGTTGAGTAGTTCCAACAGAGACTCTCTGGCCCAAAAGCTGCACTATTTTCTACCTGGCCCTTTACAGAAATTTACTACCCCGTGGTCTGAGACCATTCATATGCAGTGTTGCCTTTAAAAAGCTATTTCGGGACAAGGCTAATTTACTGGATCACCCTTCCCACACAGTGAAAGCTGTCACTGGCTGTGTCGTTGTAAGCATCCCGAGGCTGTACTTGATTTGATGTGGCATATTTTCCCTCCTTTTCCAGGTGAAATGTGAGGCCAGGTCAGCCTTGTCCAAGCCGAAGAATAACCATAATAACTGTAAAAAAGTATCAAATGAAGAAAAACCAAAGGTTGCCATTGGTGAAGAGTGCAGGGCAGATGAACAGGCTTTCTTGGTGGCACTTTATAAATACATGAAAGAAAGGAAGACGCCAATAGAGCGAATACCCTATTTAGGTTTTAAACAGAGTAAGTATGCTTGTTTTCATTTCTGAAATATCAACACTGCTCATATTCTTTAAACTGGAAAACAATTTTGACTCAGGATTATGTTGAAATCCTAATCTGGGGATGATGCTCTCTGTGTTTATACTAAATCTACAAATCATCCAGGCCAGGAATTTTTCTCCCTGCCTCTTTCCGCTACATTGTTCCCTTCTGGGACAGTTGCAGTGAGATATTTATAGGCTTGAATCCACTGATTATGACTGGAAATAGACATGTTGAAAGTTTCTCATTTTCTGTTTTGTCAATCTTGAGTGTCTGTCACGCCTTTCTTCTGAGATAATAATATGACGTCGCTTTATCAGGCACAGATGTTGCCTGTGAAAAGACAGCTTTTAAGAGGAGGACATTTAAAGGTGGACAAAACAACCAGAAAGAGAAAACATATTTCCTAAGCCCCAAATTTGTTAAGAGATAACAAAAACCTGACTTCAGAGGAAACACGAAAGACACAAATTTGAACTGAAAGCCCGATTTTGAACTACTTTGACATGCACATTTTAAGCATCGTAATAAATTTTTAAGTAGAAAAGGAAACGCATAGCTGAGCAGAATTCCATAGAAAAAAAGAAGAAACCCAGATCCGGCCCTGATTTCACAACTGAATATATATTTTGCCTCTGTCTGGATTTTGTGGCACACAAAGCAATGAGCCCCTGGCTTGAAATCGTATTTTCTCCAAACGTATCTTCCTAGATTAAAACCATGTGTCATTTTGATGAAGAATGTCAAACCTGTATGTTTTACATAACAATTTACATACCTAATAGCAATTGGCACTGATTGCAAGAGAGCACTCGCAGCCATTATAAACTTATATAACTACGAATGATTACAATGTTTGTCTGAAAACTGGTTGCTTGAAATAGAAGTAAAATTAATGTACTATGAACAGCTTTGTTGCATTATGCATTGGTTCAGATTAAATCAAGGCCGAGGCAGGGCTCTTGATAGCTTTGAAATAGTGCAAGGTTCAGTGAGGCTTTTCCAACGTGTTGTGTCAAAGAGCCTTTTCTTTTTTTCAATTTTAATTTTATTCTTCATTTCCCTTACCAAGGAATTACTTGAAATTCAATTTTCCCTCTTGTAAAAGAGTCACATCCGTAGCAGTCCCATTCAATGATGTCCGGGACAAAAGGGCAGGATTGCCGGCAATTTGGCATAGTTGTTTAGCTGCGTAAACGTATGCAAACCTGCAAAGAGAAATCTGTTTTTCAAAAGTATATATTTATAACGTCACACAGACAAGTTAGGGGACTAGCACTGAGGACTCCATTCTTCTGTGAATGAGTATCTTTCCTTCCCTTTGATGTGTTACATCACTGCTACTTTCCAGGGTGAAATATTTGTTTTCCTACTCGTTTACAAGGCACCGCATGTTAGTGAAATACGGTATAAGTTCTTAATATAGTGCTGCCATCAGACATTCTATTAAGAAAATAATCATGTATGAAAGTGGCTGTTATTTCTTGATTATGCAAAGGTCTTATCTGAAGGGAGCATTATATATTACCGTTTAACCAATGGCTTCCTTCTAAGGGTTGAACTAGACCAACCCTGATTTTGAAATCCCACCCTTTTCCCAGGGACACCGTAACTTAGCTTCCTTGGTCGGCTGATGGCCACAGGACTAATACTGTGTTCTCCGTTATCCTCAAAGTAGAACCACTTCTGTATTCGTGACTGTTTCTTAGGAAACATTTTAAGTGGTAATAATATATCCTGGTGTTGAATGCCCTTTGGCAAATTGTTGCCTAAGAACTTAGCTCTCTGGGGTACTAGTATTTTTTTTCTCTTTCTCATTGAAATCAAAACAAGACAAAATGTTTTAATTGACATTTCTTGGAAATATGTTAATGCAATGCTTATCTAAATACTTATTGTCCCTCTAACAGTTAACCTTTGGACTATGTTTCAAGCTGCTCAAAAACTGGGAGGATATGAAACAGTAAGTGTTTAAGCAACTTAAATGAAATAATTTTGCAATCTAACTCCCCCCCACCCCTCCTTTGACCAAGATGGAGAAAATGCAAGAGCAAACCGTCATTGACTGCCTTTTCAAATGGCTCCACACTTTTGGGGGCTTATGGGCCGCTTTTGGAAATGATCCCAATTAGTTCCAGGTTTGGCAAAATTGTAAACTTGTCGTAAAAACTACAAGTGGAAAACATATGTAACTCTCCCCTGTCAGGGAAATTAGTTGGGTCTGTAATTTTTTCCCATGTTGAGAAAGGGCTATTATTGTACAACAAGCCAAGATTGCATAAAAGAAATTTCCCTTGGCAACATACCTGACATCTGTTCATGTCTAATATGGGAAATGTATTAAAGGCTTTCAAAAGTAATCAGTATTGGCCATTAAGGAATAGGATACAGCAGAATCTCCTCTTATTCTAGGGCAAAGAAGCTTTATTAGACAAGGGTCAGTGCCGCATAAACAGGAAGTTATCAAACTTATTCAGAACAGGCTCTGACACTCTTTATCAGCTAATTCTAACCGACGGGAACAGGTTATTTTTAGCCCACAGGAAAATTTGATGGCCATGGATTTTACAGCATGTATTTTGAACCAATAAAATGTGAGTGCAACAAACTAAGATTTAAATCTTGAAAGAAGAAAAGAGCTGTATTAATAGAGCACGCAGAGACGATATCTGTAATAAAATCAATTGACATAGGAAGATGTCGTCATTGGAAATATTTTCTCCTCCACACAATGATCAGATTAAGTTGTGTAGTTTCTTCTGCAACTGAATAAGAAATTATTTTTTTCTCGCCTTACGAGGTAACCTGGGATATCTCTGTATCTTAGTAAAATGACAGTAAGAGACACAAAGTCAAGAAAATGAAATTCATTTTAGCCCCACCATAATAACTAGTGTGCCTTGCCAGATAGAGCATATTGCTCCACAAACTAATATAATGGTTTGATGTCAGGGGGTTGGAACGAGAAAAGATGGCAGGCCTGATGTGATTCAGATAATCTGGTATTTACTGTAGAGATCCCTGCTGTGAATTCTGACTAAAAACTCTTAAGATGTGAGTCAATGTGTGTGTAAAATATTCATTTACTACATGGGAAATACTAGTACCAGTTTATAAAGAAAGAAAATGCTCATACAAAGGACGTATAAAATGTGCATTTCATAGATGTGAATTTACTTACAATATTTGCTTCATCAAGCACCTGCTGTACAAATAAACAGTGAAATTTTTCATTAGGTTGGGTCTGTTGATAGGACAAACGGGTTGACTCCTTGCCACTGTGGCTCATCGTTTTGCAAAATCTCAAGCTAATTATAGCTTTTGTTCATGTGAAAAAAAAATAATAACTCAGACCTACTCTCATGAATTTAGGAGTCAGCCCCATAACCTAGATTTTTAAACTGAACTCTTGATGTTAAGAATAGGAACACACATTTTTATGAACTGTAGATAAGTTACATGATACTGCACAATATTATGAAATGTCTTTTTAAATCCAGAAAATTTTTTTGTTGCTTATTGATAGGGAGAATGCCAACAAATTTCACAGAATCCGTTTTTCCTGCTTTTGTATCTTCTGAATCTTCACAAGGGTCTATTTTTTGCCATGCAACAGCAAGTTAGTATCGAATACACACACAAAAAAACTTCAGATTAGTTTCAGGGCATTTTCAGTGTATCGAACACACAGTATTTTCTCTTTTGTTGAATGAGTGAAATAATGAATGACCATGCAATCAGCACATCACTTGAACACATACTTATTAAGTCTTACATATTGGAGGCATTGTGTTAGACACTCTAAAAGATGCAAAAATATTTACCCCAGTGTTTCTAGTTGCTTACCGTCCAGGAAAGGCAGTAATTGTAATGAAAAGACAAGGTGGAAAAAGATCCATTCCCTGTTCAGGTAGAGGACTACTTCATTTAGAAACGAGGGAAGCAAGGTTTGTGGCTCTCATGTCATTCGAGCAGAATTTTGGAGAATAGGTGGAATTCAGACGTGAATGATCATGACCTCTCAGGAACAGAAAGCCAAAGGGGGTATAAAGTGTGGAGGTAGAATAATGTTGGACGTGGAGAGTCTGAGTTACTTAAAGTAGAATGACCAGGTGGCTGGGACAAGTGACCTTGAAGGGAGTCCAGAGTGGATGCAGTCCAGTGAGAAGAGGCTTTGGGATGGTAGGCTCTGGGATTATTCTATCAGCTGGGGGCAAGGGGAGGGGTGGAAGGCAACACAGAGAGAATTGATAACAAGCCAAACATTCCTTTTTGCCACTCACTCGGCCTTCACTGCGTGTAGGTGGAGTGCAGAAGAGAGAGGCTGTGATGGGGGCACATGGGAGACCAGATCAGCATCTGCTTTCCATCTGGTGATGAGCTTCGAGCCTCTTCCGCCAAGCCACAGAGAGGACTAGCAACCTCTGGAATTGCTTCTTTCCTCTTTCGCTCTCTATTTACCCATCAAGTCCTTCATTGTTCATTGGGCCCCTGCCATTCCTCACCCCCAATTCTTTCATTGCATCTGAGACAGTGAATCTACTTAGCCCTCTTACTCTAAAATCTGCATACATGATCATCGACTGGCTGAAGCCAGTTTGGTAGGATTTGTCCTTCCTGTCTCCCTTCCCTCCTTCCTTCCTTATTTCCTTCCTTTTCTTTTTAGTCTTTTAATGCCTCATGCTGCCTTGTTTCCCTGTAGGCATGAAGGTTGCCACTCCCTTGCTCCACTGAGTACTGTCCTACTCTCCTAAGTACAGAATACACTTTTCCATTGGTAGAATTGGGCCAATAAGCGAAACGAGATGTTCAGTGAGGGATTCGGTTTTGAAATCAGTCCAGCAGATATATGAGTAAGATCCAGTCTGAGGACTTAAATTGTCATCACTGTGTTACTGAAAGACATTTATCTGTGGTAGTATCTGATATCAGAAGCAAGTGTAGACTTGTCATTAGAACTCAAAAGAGATCTTGGAATCTTCTAGATCTGTGGTTCCCAAAGGCTACTCAAGAACTGAGGCTCAAATTTTCAAAGGGGAACTTTAAAGTATGCATAGCTGTGTAGATCTCCACACTAAGATATTAATTCTGTGGTGGGCCCTGGGCCTAAGAACCTGAGAATCCTTTTTTATAAGCTGTCCAGGGGATGTTAATTCAAAGCTAATAGTAACAGATTATTCCCACTTAGCCTAATGGCCCTCATGACTCCCAGCTTCAAAATGTGGCCCCATCTAAGTCAAGTATCGAAGATTAGAAAGTTGTCTTCACACCATTACTAAAGAAGCATGCCAGAATATTAACACTTATTTGGCTCCCAAGCAGCACTAAGTTTCCAGCGAAGGTTTTTCCATTTGGGAAAGTGGTAAGCTAACTACACTGGGACTCGATAAGCCATTTTCATTTTGAATGTAGGAAAGCCTAGCATCAGAGCATTTTTATTTTTTGCAAATTGGCCTTTGTGCAGAGAAAGATACTGCCCTGCTCCAGCGCATATCATCATTTTAAAAATAAGGAAATTGAGAGACGGTGAAGCGAAATGAGTTGCATGGGGTCATTATGGACTTCTTCAAATTCTGACTTGGTGAGAATTTTGTGCACAATTGTCTCAACTTCCATAGCAACTGATAGGAAAGACCATTCTTTATATATAAATGACCAGTCTTTATATCTTCCATCCTCAGCAGTCTCTTATGTATATCTACCATGCTTTCTCCATATTTTGGGTGATATTTTGGGAAACGCATCTAATAACGTACCTTCACTGCTAGCATCTTTCAGTGAGCTCTTTGTAACTAATGTGAGCCTTACCAGACAACTAACTATTAGCTGAGATTTTATCTGAGTCTTGAAAAAATGTGTGAACTTAGGAGATAGGTCAAGAAATCTGCATGATGTAAACATTCGGTAATAGAAAAAAAAAAAACCTGCAAGTTTAAAACTTATAGATGTATCTCTTCTGCTGTTAACTTGTGAGTGGATAAAGACATCTCTCTGGAATTCCTTCTGGTTATAAAAAGAGGCCATCTTAATTGGCTTGTTTTTGTTTGTGGTTATAAACTATTCCAAACCTTCTGGTTTGAATTGTGGATTATGGATTATTTCATTTCAGTCCTTCATAACCCTCATATTGAATTAAAAAAAAAAAAAGGAGCAAAGGTTTTATTTTAAGCCTACGCATTCGACTTATGGCTATATTCAGTTCTCTTGGCCTCCTCTTCTTTTCTGGAAAAGAATTTTGTGTCTGTGTCTCCTTAAGTCTAGAGATCATAAATGTATTGAATGGATTTGATTCCCTAAAAAACAATATCCTGGCATTTTGATCGGTTGGCAGTGAGGATCTTTCCTTTTATAATCATCCATCCTTCCAAACATTTTAGAATATGGGTCACCTACAGTTGAGGAGGCAGAACTGGATAGAGCCACACTGAGGAGCCAAACTAAAGAGGTCTTCACTTCAGTGTCTGGTGAAGCAATTACAGCTTGAGGAGTAGCTTGGGGTATTACCAGGATGCGGTGTGTTGAGGGTAGTTTGCTAAAGTGATTTCCAATTGGCTAACCATTTGAAGGTGAGCCAGAGGCAATATTTGGAGAGAAGGTAGAGTAGGGAAATGGGTCTTGAGAAAATCTCATTCTAGAGGCAGACGACCACGCAAGCAGTGCCTTCTAAGAATGTCAGTTAGCAGCTCCATCCTCCCCACGGGTGAGACAGGACCATTATTTTTCATCTGGAAGAAGAAGCCACATTTCTTCTTGCTGGAAGGATTAGACTTTTATACCAGATTTGGCTTTGACATCATTTCAAGACACCCTCTGAATCTAACCCTAGTGCTCTGAACGGACAAAGCCTCTTGCTTAATTCAAAATTCTCGAGGCCAAAGATGATGTCATTGTAGTTTTGAAAGGCTCCAGTTCCTGGAGTACTACCAGGAAAAAAAAGTCATCTTCCTTGAATTCAGTCCGCCCTCAAGGTGTCCCAAGAAAGAGGCTGTTTCTCAGAGCCGCCTGGGCAACACTGCACGCAGGCCAGTGTGCCTTCTGAGTTCACATCTCACAGTTCTTAAGCCCTGGACACACTCAAGTCCTTCAAGATTTCTGATTGCTGTTTCCTAACCAGGCCACAAAAACTCCAAGATTATTTCATCCCTGCAACCTCAAAAGTTAGAGAAACCAAAGCCCCAAGACTGTGCCTTGGGTTAAAATACTTTCCCAGTTTTGTTTTGTTTGTAAGTGACAGGATATTTTCCTGTGTCCATCCAGGAAACTAGAGAGGGGGAAGATTCCTTTCCCATTCTCTGGACCTGTTTTCTTGGCAGAGGTGAGCATTGTAGAAACCCAGTTTCAGGCCACGTCTAACACAGTTTGGCTTCAAAAGAGCGGTTTGAAAACGACGATAATTTAGAAGAATGAAACTTAATGAACATAATAGGTATACCGCTTTTCACAGTTTCTTGGGTCATCCCCACACCAGGGAAAGAAGTAACTGTCAAGTGTCTTCAAAGTGAGATTAAGTCCCCCATGTACCTAGATTGATTTGTTTTACTTGGGTGTGGTCTGTTCGGTTTTTCATCTTGTTTTATGGTTAATTGTACGGGGCTATGCTTCCTGCTAAATCTTGAACCCTTGATAGCAGCAACTTCTCTTTGTTTTCCTGGTATCTCCCCACCCTCAAGCCTCCCTCTGTCACCTTCTACCTTCATGCTTTTCTGCACCTGGAACAGGGCCCTAAAATGGTGAGCAGTAGTTGATGGCTTGATGTTATGAATCCCTAACATTTACATAAGGATCTTGAAGGAGATCACAGAGGAAGTACAGTCTAAAAGATATCATTGCTTGAGCGAATTTGGCCATTTTCTTGAGGAAACAAAGAGCCAGAAGTCCTCTGTATCCTTAAAAACCTAAAATAATACAAGCTCAGGTTGAAACATATACATGGCCAGGAGGCCTTGGCTTAAAGAAAGAGTTAGTCAGACTCACCCCATGGCCATATCAAACTTTCCAGCTGAGTGGGGCTGGGGACTACTAGGTGGACCTTGGTTTTGCCCAAATGGGAATTTAAAACTAGCACACATTCTGGACAAAGAATAAAAACCCTAAGCAAATGCACTCATTGGCACGATGAAAGCAGCCTCTCACAGGAGGCGGGTTTGTACAGGCGGGAGCCCAATGCCCAGTGGCCGGGCCAGGCAGGGCTCTCATGTCATTTCCTCCCTCCTTGTAGGGTGTTGGGACCCACTGCGGGTTTGGACAATGGGAAGGCTTAGACATTTCTTGCTTTAAAGCCCATGGGCAGCGTTTGAATTAGAAGCGCATCTGGACGCAAAAAAATGGAGATGTGTACCCAGGAGCACTGTGTACTTAAAAGCATAAAGTCATTTAGCAGTTGGAAAGAGCACATTTTATGACTTTCCTGTGGAAAGAAAATATCTCAAAACGGTCTGATTCATCCAGGCCAGCCCATGGAAGCTCAGTAAACAGGGACCACTTCCTGGAAGGCCCAGCCCTTGTCTTAGCTCCAGATGAACTTTCACTTGTAAAAACTGTATTTAAACACCACCACCTGCTACAGCAGGGGCTCACACAGACCCCTGGCCAGCCACGTGTTTATCGTGCCAAATGGGACTTGATGCTGGCCTCCTGCGGCCACAGTTTCAATCCTAGTGTGAGGAAGATTGTTTTTTTTCCTTTAGATAATTCGTCATTTATTCTTAAAGAAGTCAGTTATTTCTGTGATAGACAGGTGTTGAACAGGGTACTATTGCCTAGTCTAGGTGATAGGTTGTGGGAGGGAGGCATGGTCAGTTTCCACACATTAAATATCCCATGATCATGGTCTCCTGTTCATTACATTTTTCACAACCTGTATTATTTTGCTTACTATTCAGTCCATTGTTTATTTTTGGTATCCCTCCCACCCCCCAAAGTACACAGACACTAAGGATGTAGTCATATTGGGTGTTGGGTCTGGTTTTCATTTGTTGTGTCCAAGCTGCTATTACAGTACCCAGCCAATGGGATACGTTCAAGAAATGTCTGGCGAATGGGTGAGTGAGTGGATGGATTCCAAAATAATTGAGAGTTATGTGTGATTCAGTGGTGAACAAACAGAACCTCTGTTCTAACTAAGACACAGGTGGGCAGGGTAAAGGAACCATAGTTTTACTTGCTGAGAGGAAAATCTCAGAGCACTGTTAACTTAGCCCACCCCCTTAGATCCTTCCTGACCTCTTTCCTGTACTACCTCCCCACTAGTAAGAGACCCACGGCTCGAAGTCGACAACTTGTAGCGGAAGCTGTGATTTCCATAGTCCTTTGCCTCACTTGAAGCAAAAGGTCCCCAGAGTTCTGTACTATCACCCTGCTTCACACATGGGCTATTCACCAGCTCAATCTGATGTGGACGCTGTTTTGATGTAGTGACAGAGTCTGCTCTTGGGATCATAAGATATTAGGATGAGCTCTGGCATTGCCAGTCTACCACTGTGTGTCCTTAGCCAAGTCGCGCAGCCTCTCTGCATCTTGCTTCCTTCATCTGTGATGAGATTCCTATAATCTACCTCACAGGCTGTTGGGAGGAGGAAGTGAAAACTCCTTATAAGATATGAAGTAGAGAGGCACCTGAATGACTGAGTCGGTTGGGCTTCTGACTCTTGATTTCGGCTCAGGTCATGATCTCCTGGTTCGGGGGACTGAGCCCTGCAGGGGGCTCTGAGCTGACAGCGCAGAGTCTGCTTCGGATTCTCTCTCTTCCTCTCTCTTTGTTCCTGCCCCACTTGTGCTCACGTGCTCGCTCTCTCTCAAAATAAATAAATACACTTTCAAAATACGTGAAATAGAGTGCACAGAAGAGATAAAGGGTGACAAGAGCGATGGTGTCCTCTGAAGTGATTGCAGGGACTTACGCAGGCTGTCTTCTGGCCTTGCTGAGCTCCCCACCTCATCTGAGGGAGGGGAATACGGAGGTGTGTCTCGAGGGGCCTCAGTATCTTAAGAGCTTTGAGGAATAACAGGGACACGTGGGAGGGGATCCTATTTCACTTCTTCCTTCACACAGGTCTCAAATAGACCAGCCTGAGATGGTACTGTTAAAAACTTTGGAGGGAGATTGTAATTAAATATAAAATAATTACTACAACACATATTTTGAGTGTTTTGAAAGGGGCTTGAAACCATTTATTATAATCTAAAGCAAGCTATAAGTAAAGGAAGATTTTATTTTTAGTCAGACCTGCTAGTAGATGTAGGGGGTGGTTCTGTCTACAGGGGACGATAGACACAAATTGGCTCAAGCACGCTTCGTGGGAAACTGAACAATGCAAACCTCCCATGGTCTCGAGGCCCTACCTGGGCCCGTTGAGCAGGGCTTGTGGAAATAAAGGGGTCTTTACTTGAAATGGAAAAGGTGCCATTTGCCCTGTAATATTTGACCACCCCTCCTCCTTCCGTTACAATTACGAGCCCCTGTTTGCGAGTTGAGATATTTTTTTCCCCCTCGGATTGCTGCCTTCAGCCCCTAAGTGAACTCCGCTGGCAACATTGCGGGTATTTTCCAAGAGAAGCCTCCTGTTCTGATTGTCTCCGGTGCTGCTGGCACCTGTGCGGCGCCCTGCCCCCTACACATTCCAAAAACAGCGTTTTCCTGTAACTCTGTTTGGAAATGTCCACAGGACCTCAGAATGCGCTCTGTCTCCTGGTTGCAAGGAAATACTAGACTTGCTTGGATGTTAGTAAATGACGTGGTTTCCCCAAATTAATCATTTGCCAGATCATGCATCTGTTATTTTGTAAAGTCTTAATTTATGTACAAAAATAAAATTAAGGAAAAAAGGAAACAGGGCCATAGCATGCCATTCTGTATATGGCAAGCTGTTTGGTTTTATTCACCCAACTCAACAGTAGACCCAGCTTGCGTTTTAGCTTTGGAATTTGTTCCTTTTCGTAGGATTTGATGGATATCCCGTTCTCCTGACCTAAGTGAATAAAAACAAACAGCTGGCAACACACACAGTTGCAGATTTGGGTTTTGTTTTGGTGGTGGGAGGAGCTGGCATAACCACCTAATCTCAGATGACTGCAAATTCCACAACCAGTTGGGTCGATTTAATTAATTTGCAGAGCAACTTTATTTAGTTTTTGAAGTAGTCAACATATCACACAGTTCAGTAATCAGAAGATACAAAAGCACGTTGAGTGAAAACTCTCCCTCTTTTCCTATGTCCTTGGCCACCCATTCCCCTGCTGCTTAAGCAACCAGTGTTGATTCTGATTCTCTTAAACTGATATTTTAGCTGAAATCTCAGTTTATTTGGATGCTTTCTCACACTGACATAAAGGAACAGAGTATGAGTTTGGGACCTTGCGGGGAATGAGCTTCATAAATGTCTAGGGAGATGCCTTAGGGTGACAAAACATAGAGCCCAAAGCAGAATTCCGTTTTTATTATAAAGAAACATGCTAAAGGAGAGATCTCACTGTAAAACCTGAGTCTCCCCATACACTCATTTGGACTTCTCTGTCTCTGGGTTTCCAGAACAGGCTGTTCTCTTCTGCCTGTTGCATATGTGTTGAATCCTGGAACTGTGAATCTCTTATGATGCAAGATTGAATTTCCCATTGCCATTTTTCCAGATAACAGCCCGGCGTCAATGGAAACATATTTATGATGAATTAGGTGGTAATCCTGGCAGCACCAGCGCCGCCACTTGCACCCGCAGACATTATGAAAGGTAAGAAGCCCTTTCTCGGGGGCGCCTGCGTGGCTCAGTCCGTTGAGCGTCTGACTTTGACTCAGGTCACGATCTCACGATTCGTGAGTTCGAGCCCCACGTCAGGCTCTGCGCTGACAGCTCAGAGCCTGGAGCCCCCTGCTTTGGATTCTGTGTCTCCCTCTCTTTCTGCCCCTTCCCTGTTCACGCTCTGTCAATCTCTCTCTCTCTCTCTCTCTCTCTGTCTCTCTCCCTGAAAATTAAACATTAAAAAAATAAAAAGTGGGATATAATTCACATACCATGAATTTTACTCTTAAAAAAAATAAAAGAAGAAGCCCTTTCTTGGAAAGCCCTTGCTTAATTAAAAGTATGTTAATTAGAAGCAGCTTCTGGTGAAGGATAAGATAAGGAGAAGTCCAAAGGACCTTTTTGGAAATAGAAAATATCCTCTGGCATTTACCTTGCATACCGCCTTGGGATTTTTTAGGGTACGTGGTGCTCTCTCCGGTTACAAGGGCTAAAATTAGATGTTCTTTTAGTTTGGTTTTGTCCTCTGACCACCTATTTGACAATACCTTCCCCCTCCCCCCGAAAGCCTAGATTACTCGGTATGTTTTCTGTAGGTTCATTTATTGTGAGAACCTTCTGCTTCTGGAAATCCTAAGTCTGCAGTGTTGCTTATGAGGTTGCCATGTAAATGTATTAACGTTGAAATGTATTAACGTTGAATGTGTTAATATTGAAAAGTAAGCGTTTCTTTAATAAGAAAATTGGCCTCAGATAAGATCCATTGTTTTTTCCCATCTTGGTATTTTTCTTCTACAGCTATGCTTTTCACCAAAAAAATCCTTTCTTGCCAAGCCGTGTATGGCTCAGTTTTCTAACACGTTTAGCTTCTCTCAGAAGGTGATGATCATGCAAACAAGAAGTAATGCCAAATTACCCTACTATGAAGGTTGTAGCCACAGGAGTGTTTCCTCTTTGCATTAGGACTATTGTTGTCCACAGCATTGCAGAACTGTTAGCGAATTCATGCATTACCCTTGCTCTGCACTGCCAGTCTATACTTAAGGTGTAAAGTCACACCAACTTCTTTGTCTTTGGCATTTCCCTGCTGAAATGTTGACTGACTCAGCAACCTGGTTTGAAGTTAAGATCCAAGTAGAGGTGTGTGTGTGTGTGTGTGTGTGTGTGTGTGTGTGTGTGTGTTAATAACAGTCATGGATGGAATGAAGTAAAGACACAGCTGAACAAACCGGCCAGTTAGCTTGCTCGTTTGAAAGGTAAGACATAACTGCTAATGTGATGGTTGCCTTTTACATGTCAGTTACCATTCCAGCTTCATCCCAGATGCTCAACACCTGCCTTTGGATCATACAAATGCATCTTCAGATAATGTCATCTGGCACATCAACGCTTAGTCATGTTTTTTGAGTTCAATTAAATTTTTATCTGTGTTGCATTTAGCATAGAGCCCCTTTTAGTATAGCCGTTCCACTAAACTTAGAATGTTTCGATAGGTATAACCTAGTAAACTAGGTTGGGTTTAGTACCCCATGGAAAAATCCCCATGAAGTATTCCCAAGGGATTGCCTTACAGGATGGTGTTAGAGTTCACAAGGATTTTTTAAAAATTGGTAACAGGAATTCAAATTATTACTCTTCCTAGCCCTTTTAAAAATATATTATATCAGTTTTTTAAAATGTGTTCTTTCTCTCATTATTTAATACAAGAGCCTACATTCTCACTGTACGTAACAGGTACACCACTGAAATACTAATATAAAACAGCACAGATATCTCAGGTGAGTGTTGTGTAAAGAGCACTTAAGGTAACATATTCAACTTGCTTTTGACATACGAGTCAAGGCTTTAATCAGAACATTTTCGTTAAAAGTACTGTCTGTATTTTCAAAGAGCTTCGGGGCCTCTATTCTGATAGTGAACCCCATACCTCCATGTGCAAATGTTCCCAACACCTGAACCATCAAATGTAAAGGACCAGACAGCAGTTAAAAATCTGCAGAAAGAGTGTATCTCAGCTGTTTATCTAGCTCACTCAGTTAAAGGATGAAAATTAAACATATTACAAAGCATCACATGATCAAAAAACAGATTGGGTTTTATGGAAAAAAAGATTAGATCTAATAATACAATGAGTGTGTGTGTGTGTGTGTATGTGTGTGTGTGTGTGTGTGTGTGTGTGTAATTAACTCAAGTACCTTTGTAGATAAAAATAGCTTCAATCTTCAATGAGATGCCAAGATCTGTTCTCTTGAAGACTGGGTACTTAGTTGCGTGATATACCTCATCTGCGGCAGTAGAATCACAATTGCCTTCAGTCAGTCAAATTGGAAAATTCTAGGAGAGATACTTGACACTATAGCAACTATGCAACATTATTTAACACTCTTAAAAAGTTCTCTTCTTTCCTCATTCTTGGGAATAAAAGGGGTAGTTCACGAAGGTTTGGTCTCCCACTGGATTAAATATTTTTGAGGCGCTAGGTCACTCACTGTTCTAAATGGAGAATTGTTTAATCAATGTGTATTAGTCAGGATCCAGTAAGGACAATAAAAACTACACTAGGTATTCAACAAAGAGAATTGACTGTAGAGACTTGCTTAAACCACTGTTGTTGTGAAGCTGTATGTTAACACAGAGGTAATAACCACAGGTTCCGCCTAGAGGATAGGGTGTTGCCACCCACAAGTTTAGAGAGTATGCCTCACATTGCTGGGGTTAAGATACCTCCTCCTGGGGAGGCTCCCAACCAGTTCTGGTGGTTATTGAGCTCAGAGGTGGAGCACCATGGACCTAGGCTCAGACCTGAGGAAGGAGTGCTTCCTTGCTGGTGCAGGGCCCCAGAGCAAATGCAGGGTGACCGTTCTGGGGTTGTTAAAAGAAGCTAGAGGCTGGAGCAGCTGCTGCTGCTAGATTACTGTTGGTTTGGCCCCGAAATGAGCAGTGAGCAAATCAGAAAGGAAGAAGGGCCTTCCTCCCCTCCCCTGGCCTGCTAGGGCCCCATCTACAGAACCCCAGAAGGAAGACAGCTGATAAAAGAGACATGTAATGGGTGGAACCCTGGTCCCAGAACACAGAGGAATAGGTTTGGAGCTGACAGTAGTCAGCTGCCAAGTGGTACCCCCAACATGGAAAGCCCTGCACAGAGCCAGCAATCCTGTCCCAGGGTAATTAACAAGGTCCTTCATCCTTCCTTGGATATCCTCTCACTATCTAAGCCCCTGTCACATTGTCGTGATCAGATACAAGGGGCGTCTTGAGTGATTAATAATTAATAATAGTGAAGCTCTAATCATGATCCTGAAAGGAATCACCCATGCTCCTGTGTGTTGTGGTGGGCAGAAGAGTCTCAGGCAACTGCTCCAGATGTCTCACATCTTTATTCTCTTTCGTGGTTCTATAGGAGAAGGGCAGAGGACACTCTTCTGTCCGGGGACTAAAAACAGCTCTGCTTGGGTCAAAGAAGAGCCTGAAGCTCTCAGCCACAGCTGTGCTTAGGGACTTGGCAGATTTCATTCCTTTTTGCTAATTACAGGCCATGCTAACACAGAACAGAGAGGTCTAGATTGGGGAAGGGACACTGTTTTCAAGAAGGTTCAAGAAGTTGAAAAAGATCAAGGTGTTGTGGGCAAATATCTAGTCAGGAGATGCCTGAGGATATCTGTCAAACCTTCCCAATCAGGTCAGAATGATCGAATTCCTCCTGTGCGTTCAGTCTCACTCTTTTCACTCCAGTGTAGAGACTGGGTGTAGGTCCTTTTCCTAATTCCCCTACCACCAGCTTTGCTTTCCCAGAAGATGAAGAAATGAGTGATCTAGTAGGCATTATCCACTGATTTATTTTTCATGTGGTGTGGTTCATGTTTCCCGTAAATGTTTTCATTTTCCAACAAGAAAAAAGTAGCCAGTTCCTCAGTAAATATTACTTGTATGTTAGTTGGGCACTCTTGGTTTATTAATGAGTGTAATAATGAAAGTGTGGGTTGTTGAAAAGAATCAATGAGTGTTTTTATTTAAGGCACAGCAGAAATGGTACAATGCCTGTGAATGCATCATTGTTGCTGAAGGCCTGACTCGTCCAAACTTGCCTCTGATTGGTTTAAATCAAATAGGTCCAAGCACTTCATAAAAATGTCTTTGTCAGCCTGGTTTTGCTTCCAAACCTATTCATCTCTGTCAGTTTTTAATATTAGTACCAGGCTCCTGGCCATAGTCCATTAGTACTGTACTTAATTGCTCATGTTACAGCTGATCACCAATATAAAAAGCATTAATGTTCCCCCATCGTGAGACTGTTGCTATGTAGACGTCTCAAACTCAGCAAAGCTCATGAAGTGTGGTTTTTCTGGACATTCCTTGCCCCGGATTTATTGATAAAATTCCTATAGGTTATAATGCAAAGAAAAATCCCCAGCTCCTCCTGGGCTTCTAAGTAGAACATTTTCTTCCTGATCTGACTCTCTGTTGAAGACGTGCAAGTCACCTTTATCAGGACAGGAGCAAAAAAGGGAAATAGTTCTTTATAAAGCATTCTCTTAGCTCAGTTTTCTGGAAGAGCAATTTGTTTTAAAGACTCTGTTTTCACATGTCATTTTGTTTTCTTTCTTAGAAAAGTGGGGGTTTTTTTAAAGCACATACAAGAGGGAAAAAATCTTCACATAGAATACCAGATCACGGGTTTGAATTTTCTTGAACACATTGCATGGTCTGTGTCTGAGGAACACATGAAGTTATTATTAGGGATGGAAAAAGGAGCAGTGAGGCAAAAGGACTTTATGATGTGCTTTCCTGAGTATTAAGAAAATCAAAATCAGGGGTGCTTGGGTGGCTCAGTCAGTTGGGCGTCCAGCTTCAGCTCAGGTCATGATCTCATGGTTCGTGAGTTGAAGCACCGCGTCAGGCTCTGTGCTGTGCTGCTTCAGATTCTGTGTCTCCCTCTCTCTGCCACTAATGCTTTGTCTCTCTGTCTCTCAAAAATGAATAAACCATTAAAA